GCGATTCCAAGGCCTGATTTTGCAATTTCAGCCTTAAAACTTTATAAGCAATAAAAGTATGTTTGCTATCTTCATTTTATTGTTTATAAAGTTTTAAGGCTGAAATTGCAAAATCAGGCCTTGGAATCGCATCCGCCAAAGTGTAACGAATATATATTGAAATCAGAATTATTAGAAAATATTGCTTCTTTGCCTCAATATTCTGGAAAAAAAATCATGCTAGCCTAATCGTCCTGCCCTCGTCTCTCCTGCAATTTTTGTATCGCCCTCTCTGTCCTTACCCCGGAGTTTCCTACTTTTTCCACAACTGTCGCTGAAGTCAACTCGGAGTTTGGCTCTGGGTCCTGCGCACCTAAATATTACCTATATATTCATTAATATTTATATATCATTATTACTATTGTGCAGTATCAATATGATTGTACTAGATGTTGATTTTTAATAGTATTATGATCTCTTTACATTTAGAAAAAACCTACAGTGTCCAATATTAAAGAATGTTTCACAGAATACTCCCTAGAAGAAAAAGTGGAAGCTTTGAAGAATTTACTTATTCATAATGAAAAACATAGAGAGAATCTTCTATTGCACAAAAATATAAGGCACAATACTAAAAATATAGTTGGTGTAATACATTACTTTATTTTAATCTTTATAACTTGTTTTATTTACGTTTAACAATTTTTTATTTAATAAATAATGATACTAAAAATAACAAATAACTCAAGGTAAAAGAATGTCTACAAGCAGATGAAAAAACGCCATTTCAAACTATCATCTCTGAATTAAGAAATACTGTAATGAATAGCTATTGGAATAAAGAAGTTGGTAAAACACGTGATCAAATTCCAAATCTTCCAATTGGTATGAATCCATTGGAAACAACTTTTGGAAAAAAAACTCAGTCTGGTATAAATTAATTACTATGATTGGGATATGAAAAGAAATAATTATACATTTAACATTTAGAGCATCTTTTTGTTTGTCGATTTATAATAATTAGAAGCAACTATGGCTGAACTACTTCAAACAGAATCAAGTCAAACTGATGTTTCAAATACAGATGTCCTTGCATTGTATAAACAATGTCATAACAGTTATCAGCCTGCTGAGCAAATTAAGAGACAGTATGAGATAATAGAACGATTAATTGAGGCTTATTATTTCATACTATATAAGATATGAATTGCACTTACAGTTACAAGGAACCATTCAATGAAAATCTTATATTTGGGAAATCAAAAAGTACCAACAATAATGGCACACAATTAAAAAAGCTTCTAACATGGATCAATTCTGATTCTACTACAGTAGCTAATTCTATTTTAGCAGATTTTATGGAACGTTCACATTCTCGTGTTGGAGAAGTAAGGTAGAATAAACACTAATGATAAATTTATTTTAATACAAAGATTAAATTCTATTGTTATTAAAAGCGAAAATGTATAATAAACGAAGAACAAAACTTACAGAATATTACTAACAAAAGTGTATGTACAATGCTTATTTGAGATAAATAAATTATAATAGAAATGCAATTTTCCATTCCAACTTTATTTACATATTTTTTAATTTTGTTTTAAGTTGTGTTTATATCCACTTAAGATTTTACTCTTTTACTTTTTGTAAGAAGTACAAGAAGTTTTGTTGTATGTATTTAAATGTCACAGAATATTACTTTTCCTTTATAATTTGAATAGAATTTTTTTTCTGCTATCTAAATATACTTTTTCAGGAATTTCAAAAACGCATATCCATACATGTCTATGGTACATGGGAAAGCAAGTGAAAGAAAAGAAATAAATGAAATAGAAAATGCTTTAAATGACTGTCATATAAATAATGATGCAATACTACAAAAAAAATACTTGCAATATATTAACAGTTTACGTCAAAAATTCAAGAAGCGTACTCCAGAAATTCCATTTTTAGACATTTATGAAGATCTATTGTGTCTTGATAAAGTAATATGATAATTTTATATTAAATTCTAAACTTAAAATTCAAGTTTTGACAATAATATTAAAGATCAATTTTTAATAATTATAAGGATTTTAGTAATATTTAATATAATTAAGATATTGTTAAGAAAAAAGTTATGATTGAAAATGTAAACAATCAAATGTAAACATTTTGTGGTATTAAAAAGAGTGTGCTCTATAGAAAGTTATGTTTTCAATCAATTAAACAGAAAACATTCAAGACTTATTCACGATTAATCTAAACAATAAAAGAGAACTGATATATTTGTAGAATTATATAGGACTGTTACCAGAAGACATTATTAGTTCTACATTAACTAAATATAAAATACATTTAAATCAAGTACTTCTAATACCACTGTTGAATCTTCTTCAAATACGCAAGGAAAAGAATATAAACTATAAAGAATTATTAAATCTTTTAAATTGGAGATATGATTTGCCAACATTACCAAAAGTAGAAAGTAATGTATTAATATCTGATTTAATAATTCTATTAATATATTTACATAATATACATAGGAATCGTAGTGTTAGAAATACTTAAATCAAAATTTTATAGGGATACCTTTAGAATGTCAATACTATAGTACTACATATAGAGATACAATAGAGAATATGGACAGAATAGATGCTACAAGTTAGTACAATCTTTATATAACCTGAATTGAACATAGAATCATTATACTTAGATAAACTAATCTTTGTTTAAAAATGTGAAATATTTAATAATTAAAAACAAAAAAAATTAAAATTTTGTTTATTCTTATAGATACTCCTACAGCAGGGATTATATCTAAAGATCCTGAAGATAAAACTTCTGCTTACAGTCTCATATTTCCAAATATCTTTACAAAGCATGGCCTAGACTATAAAGATCTTTCCAAAGTATGTTTAAAAATATTAATTTTTGTAAAAATTTAACTTATTTAACAAACTTAAACTTGTAAATGTGAATAATAATAATTAAATTTTATAATTTTTTTATCATTTTCTACAGCTTAGAAGTAAAGAAGAAATACGAAGTATTTTTGCAAATATTGAAGTTGAATTTCCTAATAACAGTTTTGATTTGCTTTGGGAAGAAGGGCTAAAAAAAAATGGCACAGACAATCTATCTGTTGAAACTTTTAGAAACTTGCTTGACGAACGCGATTTAACAGAAATAAAACAAAATTAATAATTTGTTTAAATAGTCTTTTATATTCGAAATATAACATTCATTTCAACTATATACAGAAATATAAATCCTTTATATTTGCACATTATGTAATCAGTTTTGGGATTACATTAAATAAGCATTATTAAATAAATAGTTTCTGGCACTGCATTATACATTGAATAATGAACCAACAGCATTTTACATATTTGGATATCATCAAGTTAAACACATACATTTAGTATAAAAGAAACCTATGTTAAAAAATATAAAGTGTAGCACTCAAAACAGGCCATTTTCCGTTTTTGATATTTTTTATAACAGGAAGTAATATTGCTTATAAAAGTTATGCTTCTGGGATAATTAGCTACTAAATTATAATAGAATTATAATCTTTGAACAGCTATATCACATGTACATTATTTCTAATACAAATGAACAGCAAACAACAGTTTAAATATTATTTTATAAGTTAAAAATCTCAAAACCTATTAATTTTGGGATAGATTACCTTAATTTTTTTACTTTGAAAATTCATTACTCTACCTAATTTTGATATAAAAATTGAACACTCCATTTAAAAGAATGAAATTGGCAATTAAATTTCTTCGACACCTTCATCTGCAAAGAAACTATTGCTATCATAATTATGTTTCTTTCCAAGTAATGTAACTTTCTTTATTATCTAAAATTGTAAAAATATTAAGTTAGCCTATTTGTAGTACATTTTGGATAAATATATAAACAATTTTCATTTAATACTAATCTTGAGGTTTCAAAAACTTTTGTTTCTTTGGTATTGGTTTATATTCATCATTATTTTTTTCTAAAAGTTTCTCATATTTATATTCACGTTTTACATTTTTGTTGAATCCTTTATAGCGTTCTGTCATTTGTTCATCTGAAACATCTGTTTCTGTTTTTACATCCAATGACGTGCATTTATTGTTCTGTTCTGCTTCCATTAGTTTTTCTATTTCAGGATTCATACCTTGGAAACTTAGTCTACCTTCAATTAATTTCTCACAGAAGACATAACTAGGTTCAGTGATGAATCTGTCTCTTTAATAAGAAATAAACCATGAAAAATGATGTAATACTTAAATACTTTATGTGTATTCTAGAAGTACTCAATTCTTATAAGTTAATTTTAATTTGAAAACTTTTATTTAAAATATTATGTGTGTTAAAAAATCAGAAGAAACTTACAGTACTTTCTTCATACGTTCTGTCAATTCATTTCCGAAATATTCTTCGCCTTCTTCTTGAAATTGTTCCTTTTCTACTTTCTCTTTAGTCCGTTTCATAAACTATCCATACAAGTAATACACGGTTAATTACAATAAAACACGTCATACATAATTTTAAGGAATTTAATTGTGTGTTTACTTCTTCGATTTACCTTCATCTCCAAGATACTTTTGGATAATTTTGATTTATTTGAATGCATTGTACTCTTGTAAAGCATATATTCTAAAACTAATTGTTGCTATTAAATTTTGAAATATCTTCAAGTGAAAGTGCATGTAACAATTATTACTTTTTTGTTACTGACGACACTGTGATACTCCGATACTGGCTGGTAGGGGCAAAAACAAAAGCATGTGACTACAACAGAGCCACACCATGGAGTGAGTACTTTTATAGATGCGAAATTTCAGTGAATTTCATATCTCAATTCTACATGTGCACACTTTCGGTTCCGAGGCCGTTCGAGGCAGACTCGAGTTGAGATCGTGCCGACTAATTTTTCGATTACCGGGAGTAAAACCGTTTCGAGAAGGAAAACTTTTGTTAAAAAGTGCGAATGACGGTGGAAAAGTTGGTGGAGTAGGGTTTTTTCCCTAGTCAGAGAGAGCCATCGATCTCTAAATAGAAAAGGTTTTCCAAGGGGGGTCCCTCAGGTCTTGCTGATGATAAAAAATGAAAAGAAGAAACTCTCCTTAAGGGTGCGCAGGAGGTAAACTAGCGCCACTAACGGAGAGGAGGTGAACTACTATATAGTAAGCTGGCACCACCAACGGACAGTAGGAGAACTACTAGATAGCTGGTAAAGAATTTGTATGACAATATGGCTGCTTCGCTATCGCGCTGTCCACTGCAGCGCTGCTGTCGTCTCTGCTGCGGTGTGCTAGTAGTCTAAAGACGTTTTTCAGTATGGTTCAGTATCGTAGTAGGTTTAAAAAATGCCCGCCGTCATACATTTTTCTTTTAACTCTTTCAGTGCCGGGTGTCGATATATCGGCCCGAACCTTGTAGCGTTTTACTATTCGCATTGCGAGAGAACTCTATATTGTCTGTATATTGTATCTATAAATATAAATTTAATAATGGGAAATAAGCAACATATTTATAAAACTATGTTATACTTGTATTTAATTTTTACATTAAAATTATTTTGGAATATAGGGAATCGTTAGAAGATAACACGCTAAAATACATATGTATAGGGAAATGATGATAAAATGATTATTACACAGAATTAGTTCCGTTTTCTTGTTATTTACAATTTAACCCTCGGACACCGGGCGGTCGCACGAACGACGGAGCCGGGTCACTATTCAGGCATCGAAATCCAAGTCCATACGCGCTACAAAAGAAGGCTTAAAATCAAATTTTTATATGCAAACATTATAATCATATTAGTAATGCCTCATAACCAATTGTTTTTGTTAATATTTTGTCCCAAAAACTACTTCTTTTGCAATAAAGTTCGAAACATTTCTGTCGCTAACAGTTAGAATAGTGGGGAGAGCTGATTGCTACGGATCAAGTTACAATGTAAACGCATGGCTCGACACTCTCGATCACAGAGGAATGGAACTTCGGAAAACGACGGAAAAATGACCCAGGCCCGGTGCTGGAGGGTTAATGCTAAAAAATTGTGATTTTTGTCGTTTTTGCTTTTTAAAGAACAAAATCCATCTATAAAAATTGGTTTTAGTAAATTTGCTCAGCTTCGTTCAAAAGAATATGTAATAGTCGGAACCTGTGGAACACATTCTGTGTGTGTATGTGTAATGCATCAAAATGTAAAGTTAATGCTTCATGGTGCCAAACAGCAAAAATTAATTCCAACATCTTGTAATTATCCATGCACATATAAAGAAATGTTATCAAATATGCGCTGTGATGTTTCAAATGAAGTAATTTCAATCCCATTCATAAACAATTACAAGGTATATTTGAAAATCATTCGATTGTACCTATTTCATGCAACAAATGGGCAAGTACCGATAGATCTAATTTAGAGCCTATAGAATATTCAATACCAGCATTTCTTAATGAATTAGAAAACAAAATGCTGCAATTGCAAATCCATGATTTCATAGCAAACAATCGAAGTAGTTATTTGAAATATTCAAAAGGAAGTTTAAATCCCGATGAGTTTGTTGTCGTCAGAAATTTTGCCGAAAAGTATTCATTTATTATGCAAGATGCAATACAAAATTATCATTGGTCCAATAAGCAGGCTACAATATATACGTTCGTTGCCTATTTTCTGCCAGATAATTGTTTAAAACATGAAAGTTTTGTTATTCTTTCAGATTGTTATCAACATGATAGTTCTGTTTTGTTCCGTTTCGTTTCGTTTCGTTTCATGAATTTCATGAATTTCATCATTGAAATCAGAAAAATCTCACAAATACATCGGTAAAAATTTAATTAGAGAAAAGTCTAAAATAAGAAAGTTTTATCGAATAATTATTATTTGTATGAGTATCTCACCGATATCTCGGTTAGAATTTTAAGATTTTTCTGCTGTGTAACAGCTTGATATATAGAATTTACATTATACGAATTATTAAAATTAATCGATATTATATCGTGTTTTGTACCATTTTCGTCAGTGTAACACCAGGAATTCAGTAGTGCAATTTGTTTCTTTAACTTTTATAAAACACAACAAAAAGTGAACATATCATGACAAACATTTCACACTTTATTGCTCGGACCCTTTGAGGTCCGTCGTGGGTTAAAGTAGGCACCGTGCGCTTTGGATGGTTCCACCCTTGGTTTATGGCTTTCAGTAATCACCCGATTTCACTTCATATGCATCGTATTATTACGGGAGTAACGCCGTTGGATTCCTTCCGTTTTTTTGATGAAAACGCCACTAAACACTATATAAATCGGACTATTTTTAATGAAGATAGGCAAAAAGCGTACAAATCATTTTTTTCGTATAATTTCCTTCTAAATAATCTGAATTGTATCGTGTCTAGTACCATTTTCATCGGGATATCATAAGGAATCGATTGGCAATACATCCGTTAAGATCCGATAAGAAATACGGAAAATGATGGTCGACCTCTTTTGGGTCTAGTTTGCTACGTCCTTTTTATGATACCATTGTTGTCCGGCGGCGGACTAACATGTGTACTCGGAAAAGCTTGAAACCATTCGAGTTCCCCGGTTCTTTCGGGACGCTTGATTTTTTCGGACCGCTCAATTTTATTCGGGTAGCTTGAAAAATTCAAGTTACTTGGTTTCTTTCGGGTAGCTTGAATCTTTCACGCTACTCGGTTTTTTCAAGTACTCGACTCGGCTCGGAAATCGGGTCCCGGTTTGACTCGGCTTGAAAGCCGCTAGAATATTCGGTCTTTATTCGGTTTTCGGCAGCTCTACTCACAACCCACTTGAAAGTGTCATCTTCTCGCGTAGGAGAGGTCGTAGAGACCTAGCGAACTGACACTGCGAGGCCAGGGAACGGGCACGGCACCGCGAGCCGAACTTTATTGCATCATTGAAGAGTATCTTCGTTAATTGTTATTGTAACTCTTCTAAGCATTAAATTAGCTAAATTATTAGTTATTCGAAGTGGGATCTTCTTCCACTCCTCTATTACAGCCTTTTTTAAAAGTACTTTCCTGAAAATTTGATGTTTTCTAATTCGTACAGAGCAATAAACTAATAAGTTGTAATGCTTACGTTACAAACTCTACTGTAAATGGTTCGTCATAAGAATCGTACAAATACTAGTAAATGTTGTTTGGACTATATCTATCTTACAACAGAAGCTGTTGTAGTTGCCGCTGGTTCGTGTTCTAGAGTTCGTGGGTTCGTGACTCGGTAATGGAAATTTTTTTTTTTTCAACTGCATTTCTATTTCTTATTTCTCTTTTTATTCACTGCTACATAAATAATATATAAGAATTATAAAGTATAGGATGTGGACTACAATTTTTAATAATACGTTTTTTATTAATAATAATATTAATATTAATATTGATAATAATTTATTAATAATAAATACCCCACATCCCATACATTTGTATGTTTACTTCTACTATTGCTATATTACGTATTGCATGTACTCATTATAATGTTATGTTCACATCAATATTATTTGCAATTCTTATATATTATTTATATAGCAGTGAGTAAAATGTTACGAGCCAGGGCGATAGCGACGCGCGTGGGAATCCAGCGAGTAGGATAGATTTGAGAATTGAACCAATACGATTATTTATTGTGTATCAATGGTGCCGAAGGCTGAGGATAGATTAGACAATGCAGACGACTCTGACGCGAAGTCAGATAGCTGCAGGAATCGGTATCTCCCAGTGAAGGGTAACCGTAGGTTAAGGTG